CTGCCGCGCACCGGCCGCCGGGCTGGCCAAGGGCAGGACGGGGCTGGCGGGCCGGGCCGGGCCGGGCCGGCCGGGCCCGCGCAGAGCAGGGGCCGGGCGGCCGCCCCGACGTGAGCGTCCCGCGCCCGCCCAGCAGCCACTACATGGGCCCAGCAGCCCGCCGGTCGCGGCTCTCAGCGCGGCGCTCGCAGGCGGCCCGTCATCCGTGCCCCTCGCTCCGATTGAAGGCACTTGCGGCGACGCTTTCTGCTCTTTTCCCCGCGCCTCGGCCCGGCGGCGCGCGCCTGTCAAGAGAGAGGCGAGCGGCCGCTGCCCAATCCGGAGGCGGGGAGGCCCATCCCGCGGCGCCCGGAGCCAATGAGGAAGGGGCGGGCCGCGCGCCCGGCCGCTCCCGCCCGGCTCCTCCCGGGGAGCTGCGCCGCGCGCCGAGTTAACTCTTTGCGGGGCGGGCGAGCGGCGCGCCGGCGCTTCCCCGCCGAGCCCGCCCGGCCCAGGTGCTCGCTCGCTCGCTCGCTCGGGCGCCGCGCCTCAGGCGGGCGAGGCTGCGCCGGGGGAACGCGGCCTGCCAGAGGGCCGCGGCCCGCGAGGAAGAGGCCGGCGCCCCTCGCAAGTCGCGCCCTCGCCTTCCTGTCCCGCGTGCGCGCACACGCACAATGCGGAGCGCGACCACGAAGCGCGCCAAGGGCGGGCAGCCGCCAGGGACGCCTGCAAAGCACACCTGAAGACCCGCGGCCGCCGCGTGGCCTGTCGCGTCCCGTCGGTCCCCGTGGGCTCAGGCTCGCACACCCGCGCGGTGGATTTAGGCCGCGTTGCCGGGGTTGTGTTTAAACCGGGTTTTGGAAACGGCTCTGGCCCAGGGGCTTTTCTGAGGGGAAAACTCGCACATGGGGTTCATGGTTCCATGCAAAGTTCTACAGAGTAGCCCAATCCATGATCCCAGTCCATGATCGCAATGTTTTATTGACTGATTAGAACACGAAATCTTTTCTGCTGGAGTCATGTGGTGAGATGACTGTAACTGTAAAGGCAAATTTCGATTTAGGAGTGTAGCGAGTGGCCCAGAGTCCGGTTAAAATGTATGAAGAAATATTTGTCTTTAAAAAACAGAATTCTGTGCATCCAAAAAAGTCACCACAAGATTCACTTGGGCATAAGATTCACATTTCCACACCACAGTATGATAGCATTAGGCCTCAGATTATGCACCATTCTGTGGTGTTCCTTATTCTATTTAATACAATTTATTATCTAAAATAAATGACTGTCTCTCTTCCCACATTATGTCCGGTATGCGTGAGTCATACTTAGAATCCATGCACATGCCTATCTATTACGTTTCACTTTTCTGCAACTGAAAGATACTTAAAATGGATAAAAACCAAATAAAGCGACTAAAAATGTAGACATAAACTAAGACCCATTGATTTGAGTGCGGGAGTGAAGCACATCCATTTAAGGGTGGAATTCCATTCATTTCTACTTAAGAAAAACTTCTGTTGTAGTCAATGCAAAGCGTCTGATTTTAAATCTTTCCCCGAAAAAGGACAAGGTCCTTAACCTGCAATCCGTTGTACCTGGGATTAAACCCCAAACATCACAGTAGAACATACTTTTCAGTATATTTAAGATTGGGCACTTCGGTGTGCAGTTTGGGATGGATTGTTTGCACCTTTTTCTTCGTATCAAGTTCGCCAATTTATTATGCAGAACCACACATGTGTGACTGTGCGCATAAGGAATATATATGTATGTATAGCAACTGGGGGACCTGTTACATCTATTTCTATATATCTACGCCTCACCACTTTATTCAGATACATGCTTCTCGACACAGAAACAGAAGAGTAAAAGGACTAAAATAAATAATTCAGAGAGAGAAAGAAGAGGGAGAGGAGGAACAGATGCGATGAAGCGTAAACCCAAAGGGGAGCCGTGGCGCAAGACGCAAACTACAGCTCTTTCTCCAGCCGATGTGCGCCGGGCCGCGGAGAGCGAGCAAGACGCGGGGCCGGCGGTGGGCAAACATCCAGGCGACGAAGCCCGCGGAAACGGAGGTGGAGGATCCTGCGCACGGCGCGGCCACGCTTCCGAGCCTGCGCTTGCACGCCCTCCGACCCCGGCAAAACCGAGCCGGGGAGAAAGGCGGACTCGGCCGCGCGCCTCCTTCGCCAGCGGCGTTTGGGCCCTTGGATGGCGCGCTCAGGCGAGCCCCGGAGGCGGACGTGCCAGCGGGGATCAGGCACGGAAGACCGAGCGGGCCTGGGGAGCGTGGCTGGGAGCCGGCGGCGCAAGGTCGCCCCCCGCTCCCCGCCGTCGCCCCGTTTCTGCCGGTGCGACCTCGCCGCCCTTGTGCTGAGCACCGACACGAAGCGGGCTTCCCCGCCATCCGGCCGTCTCGCTCCCCGCGCCCCGCCGCGCCGGGAACCGCGGCCAAACGGAGGCGGCCAAACGGAGGCGAAATAGCGGCAGGGGAAAGCTGCGATCCGCCCGCGCAAAATCGGCGATATCGAATCGGGGCAGAATGGCTGGCGCGGGTGGGGGCGGGGGGGCGGCTTTCAGTATTTCGAGGTGGCTGTTCATCTGCTTCAAAGGCTCCCTTTGCTTTTACTTTAAAACCAGCGCATCGTAAAGCAGAAGGGTTGCGGAAGACAAGGCTTTACAAACGTTGGCCGGGACCTTCACGCACCCCCATTTGTATCAGAGAAAGCGCTTTCGCAAACCAGATCCTGGCTTTTTAAAAAAGGGTGGTGAATGATCAGCTGCCTTTGAATGATTCCTCCAGTTCTGGTCATGCTTGTTTATTGGAAGGGGTATTTTCGTGAGGACGAACGTAAGAGCCTCAAAAATTCAGGAGTGATTTAAAAGTAAAGCAGTTGGGGCGGAGGGCAAACTTCTAACCTCTACCATCCTAAACAAGAAGGAAGTACAAGCTAGTTTCTTGGAGATCAACGGGACCGAACTCCATAAAACCGCCCAGAGCATCAATCACAGAGTTGAGAGTGGGTTAGACGGCCTAACTTTCTCCAGGATTGTTTCAGTTCTCTGTGTTGCATGACACGTTTACTCCTAAGCGTTCGATACATTGCCTCAGTGTGCCTGGCCATCGCACATCCACGAGGTTTACTTACAAGTAAACGTGAACAGGAGAGGCCGGGGGGGGGGCACCCTCTTAATCAGCCACAGGCAACTTCTGGAGAGGATCGAAAGCCGCCGCATTTTCAAGGAAGGAAGCCGAGGATCTTGCCCACGCATTCTATCTGTGATGACCCAGAGCAGGTCAAACACATCCCAGCTTAGAGAGGACTTTAAGATGCCAGCAGGTATAAATATCCCCCAGTCCTCCTCCCCATTATCGTAACACCCACTAACATTAATTGCACGCCACCCAAACACCAGCCGCCATCTAGCAGGCAGTCCCTACATTTCCAACGAAAAAGCGGCCGCCGCTATTTCCTAGAAATTCTGGGGCAACGGGAACCATCTGGGCCCTTGGGCGAGCCTCCCAGGATGCCGAAGTCAGTCTCGGTGAGTCCGGCGCGCGTGTAAACGTGGGTAGGACTGCCGTGGCAGCCCGAGGGTGGCCGAGGGAGCGCGCCCCGTCGTGCCCGTCCTCGGCGCGCCCTTGCCCCGCTTGTTCCAGGCGCGGCCCAGACAGAAGGCGTGACCCCGGCTCCCTCTCATGCCCCCTTTGCCCGCCTCCACGAGACCTGCCCCTGGCCAAGCTTCCCCGTGGAATTGGTTACGAGGGAGTAAAATCCGGAGAAACCCCGCGGGACTTATTTCTGCTTGAACACGGTGAGCCTGGAAGCAGCGCCGCTCGCCGACACGCTTCCTGCCGCGCGGGAGCTCGCGTCGGCTCCTTCGCAAGGAGCGCCCCGGGCCAGCCCAGTCCGCCCCTTGGCCGGCGCCGCGTCCGTCCCGCTTTCGCTTCTCTCCCCGTTTTCCGAGTAGGCGCCTCACCTCGAAATCTGAAGCACCCCCGCCAAGCTGCAAGGCACGCGCGGGCCGGGTTCTTCGGGGCAGGACCAGTTCAGACCCCCTTGGCATTTATAAAGATGTGGCCCAAACTCATAATATATGCAATTTATAACATCTATTTTGCTGCCGGTGCCGTCACTGCTATACGTACAGCCCGCCTTTCTTTCTCCTTCCAGGAGCGCGTCCACGTCCTCCCACTTTATCCTCACGTGCACACCCCTGCGAGGTAGGACAGGCCGCGAGCTCGTGCCCCGCCCAAGGTCGCCCAGGGAGCTCCGGGTGCCGCCACCTCGCGCTGCGAAACGGCCCGCGCGCCCAGCGGGCCCGCAAGAGGACACGCGCGTGCGGCGGGGAGCCTCCGCCGGCGCCCCGGCCCAGCCCCGGGCGCCCCGCCCGCCCCGCCGCTCGCTGGCATTCACTGCGCGGTGCAACGAGGCGGGCGCGGGCGGTCCCGCCTTCCCGGCGCGGCTGCTGCCCAGGCACGTGGACCAGCAACTGTGCCGGGAAACCAGCAGCAGCAAACGTCTGAAAGGAGCCCCCGTGTGCCCTGGGCCTGAGCCGGCAGGCCTGCCTGCCTGCCTGCCTGCAGCCGCCGCGGGGCCTGCGCCCGGGCGCTTGGAAGCAGCGCGCCCGGGCCGGGCCGGGCCGGGCCGGGCCGGGCCACGCTCGGCTCGGCTCGGCTCGGCCGGCGGGGTGGGCTGGAGCTCGGGTGATTTATGGAGCTTTACTGCCTTATTAGATGGTCTTTAAACGGGGCTGGAGGAGCCGGGCCCGGCGCTAGTTTAAGAGGAGAGATTAATTTCAGCCCAATTGCTCTGGTTGCCCTTGGAATGTCAGGCACGCCGATTTCCCTGCGCCGGCTGCCAGCGAGCGGCATTTATGAGGACGTAACGAGCAGGCCTCCGAATGCAGTTTTATGGGACACCCCAAGCCCGAAGCGGATTTATTATTCGCTAGTTGCCACCGAGGCTCTCCCTCGCCCTCTCCCACGGAGGAGGCACGCTGTTCGCGGGCTGCCCTGGCAGCGTCCAAAGAGCTCCGCCGACGTGCTTGTATTATTTATCCACGACACTTCTCGCCCGCCCCATTAGCCATGGGGCTCCGGGGGGGGGGGGAACTTGCCCCCGCTGTTGTCAGCCCCGGGAGACACCTGGGTACCATGAAGCCCATGCTGTGGGAGGGAAGACTGAGGCCGGGGCCGAGCTTAGTCAGCGCGCTGCCCGGGAGGTCGCGGCGAAGGGGAGATGTGAGCCGGGACTCCATCTCGGGCAACCTGAACCTTCAGCCAGGCGGCCCAGCGCCACTGGCTCCGCCGAGAGGGACAGCTTCGGCTGCTGCAAGCCTCGTCGGAGAGGCTTGCGCGGAAGCGCTCCGCGCAGCTGCGTTTCCCTGCCTCGCTTCTGCCGTGTTGAAGGGTCGCCGTGCGACTTCTCTTTGTTTCTTGCTCCGAATTCAAACACCCCGAGTTTTAAACCAACCCTCTGCCAGCTTCCTTCAGCCTGCCAGATGTTCGCAATAAAATGTCAGCTTTTGCCTTTCGGGACTCGAAATAAAATTTAACGGCCTTCCCCTGTAATTATTCTCTTAGCTATCCCTTCATAAATTTATCTGTTTTTGGTGTGTGTTTTTCCTTCCAGGAAAGGAAAATCCAATTGTGCGCGCTTCTAGAGAGAGGAGGACCTCAAAGAATCGGCCGCCAGAGTCTTTCTGACTTTCTCAGCCACCAACTCAGGGTCTGTATCAGACCTTGGGGCAAACCTCACCTGAGTTGATTACTTTGTATTCAATGTGGTGGACAAATATACTATTTGAAATGGAAGGCGCAGAGAACGTTTGAAGAAAGGACACCCGGTGGAGATGTCTAATTTTCTGTTATCATGGACTCAGGATAAAATCTTCCAATATTTTCCCCGTTGG